CTGTTCTTTTACATGAGGTGGAGGAAACTAATAATTCACCGTCAGATCAATAAATCATGACTGCAGGCGTGACAGTGACCTTAAAGGATCACTGAACCTGAATATTAATAATATATATTTCTAATTAATCCGATGAGCCAACTGACCACCATTACTTACAATTTGACGTGTCGGGGTCAAAATCCGATCCGTCGTCGCTTCCGTCCGAATGGTCCGAGTCTTCCGATTCATCGTCATCATCGCCGCTGTTGTCGTCGTCGCTGTTGCTGCCGAGAAGATCTGCGATCTGGAGGAAGGAGTGTGGAAGAAAACGTCATAAGAAATCCCCAACGGCTGATCTCAGGAAATCAGTTAAAACTGAATAAACTAATATTTAAAATGACTAAAGAGACTTCAAAACATGAGCTACCTCTTCGTCCGTGGGAGAGTTGGTCCCGTCCTCATTTTCCTGGTCGTCGTTATTGGCCAGTTCCTCAATGAGCGGGTCCGTGTCCATATCGTCATCGTCATCATCGTCGTCGTCGTCATCGTCAGAGTCCGAGGAATCATCATCGTCCTGGTCTTCATCCTGGAAGAGGAACAGAATGCATCAAAAACATCGATTCAGAGCAAACTGCTGAGTCGTCATTATCCTGGTGCTCATGCATCCTTACAGAAACAACGAGTCTCATACTGACAGGATTTATTTGAACTATTACCACAAACTCAAAGGACACGGCATTATAAGCATCTTCAATTAAAATAAAACGCTCAGCAATGTGAAGTTGTGTGTTCAGGTGTGTGTGTCTCACCTGATCGTCGTCGTCTCCCTCTTCTGCCAGTTTGTGTCGTCCCACCTCGTACAGGCGACACACCGTATCGAGGCTCACTGTGTCCTGATTCTACAGAGCACATAAAGGACAAACAGTGTTGGTGTATCTGCGCTTTCACACGTGCGTCCAATAAGGTTTCATATTTTCTGTTGAATTAAAACTAGACAACAAAAACAACACAAACAAACCTGGTTAAACAATTTGAGTAATTATTAATATGAAAGGATTAGTGGACAATTCACAAATATTCTGATAATTGATTAGTCATTGTGAATTGATAATGCGAAGAGCAAACATTCCTTAATTCCAGTTTATCAACTGTAACAACGTGCTGCTTTTCTGATAATAAACTATTTTTTTTGTTGTTATT